GGTAACAGAGGTGGGGAGGGGGGGGGGAAGAGGCACAGGTATCAATCCTGCAGAGGTGAGGTCATTGACCTCTCAATCACAACACAAACAAACCGCCCCATTAGCAAGGCCGGCAGGTCAGTAACCCAAAAATAACCAGACCAAAGAAATATATAGCCTGTCAAACAGGAGATAAAAATAGATACACTGTGTGCCAATTGGGGTCAACAAAGACCACACTACTATAAAATAGGGGTGATAATGTAGAAATCCTTTTAAATTAAGCAATACAAATATACGACAACCTGCTAATGTCCTCTAAAACACAAAGAGACTCAACAACTACCCACATACCAAAAATTATACCAAACCATCCACCAGATTTTCCAAACATTCAACACAAAAAGACCAACGTTAAACATTTTGTAAATATCAAACGCAAACAGCTAGGAAACCCAAATTTAAACCACTAAACCATAATGATAACAACTACATGCTACCTTAATATCGCACAAACAGTCCATAACGCGCCAACAATAGAATAAAAAAATTAAACTGCAGTACCAAGGTCAATCACCAGGGGCTCAAAGTCAACCTACACAATCTCCAAGGCCCCATCCATCAATCTGCCAAATATCGTACAGTTCCTTCTCACCGATCTTCAGATATCAGACCAAACATGAAACGGAGTAAAAACAGTACCCCCATTTTCATGGAGGGTAAAAACGCTACCGGCTTCGGATCGGTATTTTCGAAAATACGTTAGAATATAATACGTATAGTATACGTATATGTATGAATACGTATAATAGATTATTTCTCTACTATGTTTAAAGAAATGTGACGGTGACGGTATACGTATTTCACTATAGAAAATGTAAAGATATCGATATCAATATCCTATAGATATGTGAATTGTTGCCTACTTAACATTTTATGATCTACGGGTTAGTGTAAATTATTAGAGCATATATCGAACACACAAAAACCTAATAACTAAGACCATTGAGAAAGCTGATATAGAATTATAGTATATGTACTTTAATCCAGTTTTTCAAAACTGCGAAGTCAGTACATAGTCCAGTAGTTGCAAAGTTACGCTTAGTAACGGTTGAGAGTTATTCAAACATCGAGCACATTGTTTCACCGCGGGGATTGGTGGACTATGATGAATGAGTGGTACTGTGTACTTAACAGGAAAAGATTATGGTGGCTGTGTTAACATATTGTGCAATTGATCATTCAGTTCAGTAGTTTTTTTTAATTATTATTAATAAGCTGTTCACTGAGCAGAATTCTAATGTTTACCTCCCACCACTGACCCTTCCTGCTCTGCTCTTTGACATCATTATATCGCTGTATAGCAGTAACCCATCTACCAGCTTGTATCCGTTTCAACTTGTATTTAGGTTTCCAACTGAATGGCTAGAAGAAGTGTGTCTAAAGCTACTTTTGGTGATATTTATGCGAGAACGTTATTTATAGTCATTACGTGCGTATAGTTTGTTTGTGGCATACTTATCAATATGTATGCCATTGTATGGGTGCTAGACATATATCGACTTTGTTTTGTACATGGGCACTGGCAAGCAATACGATGTGTCCGGCACTGTATCGGCGTTGGGCATCCAGCCAAAATAGCAATTAGTATTAGGTGAAAGAGAGCAATATATTACAGATACATGTGTCAGAAATCATAGCAACTATGTTTGATGTTCAAGAAGAATGTCATGATTTTCAAGGATGGTCCCAGATCAGCAGGACTTCGTATTTACTTTTAAAAACGCTGCATTAGATACTAACTTCCGGTCTTAGACGGAAAATACAACTCTCAATATCACCACGTGACGTTGCTATGTGTGAGGCATTAAAAGGTGAAAGGCGTGGGTGCTGCTATGTTGATGGGGACATTAAAGATGATGAGGAAAAGGTGTCTGCCTGTTTTTCTTCCTACTGTCACAGCGAGGCTGTGTCTAGACTGCCATCCTCAGTACGTGACCATGACGGTGGGAGGGGGGCAGTGTGCAGAGCAGATATATCGATATGCCATTGAAATTAACGACCACTACGGCTCAGTGGGGTTGTCTGTATAGGCTATAAGGACGCATTACGTAGGGCGGCCCGGTGAGGAGACAGAATCATAAAATGGTCGGACTTCATCACAGAGGTATTTCTTCATCAACCTTATTGTTAACGAATTTTGTCTCGTGATTACAATTTTCTTCTCACGTTTCATAATGCCCTGTCTTATCAGCATATTACACAGCAGTGCTGCTAATACTGTTAATATTTAAATGGTCTCCAATCTTGGCACTAAGTACATGATATTACCTCTCTAGCTTTATAAATACGCCGCAGCAACGTTAAACGTGTCGTTAGTGCCAAATGCGTACGTGCCACCATTCTCAGGCTTTATGGCGTAGGTGTCTAGACTTTGCACACATAAAGTCACATGAAGTTTACTGTGACGGCCGATGATCAGATTATGGCTTGTTTGGTGATCCTAATTCGGCCTAATGTCCTGGAAATGGAATTTATCTTAGGTCATGGGAATTAATAAATGGTAAAATGACTAACTATAACATAAGCCAAAAAAAAAACATGTAGAGAAAAGCAAGTGTGTAATTTTGAAGGTGATAGCTGAGGTATCAAAACTTGCTTCCAAATCAGTTCTTGCCCTGATCTGCAAGAAGGAAACTCACGTGCACTGTCTGTTTCAAGTGATTATTTTGTCTCTTGTGGAGAGGTATTCAAAGGTATTCAAAAGATGATATGTTTTCATGTGACCCTGACTTGTTCATATGTGACCGTCCGTTCGAATGAAATTCATCCCGTAGGCAAACACTTGCCGTTAGATCCTGCTCGCGACAGGAATGACCGCCACCATTTCAGCAGCTAACTGCACAAATTCAGTTCCTGCTCTTCCAAATTCACCACGTCGTGCTTAGGTTGTAGTCATAAATCTGAAGGAAGTCATAACGTTGCCCAAATCAGGCCAGTTTGGTGTAAAGTACATATATTTTACACACAACAGCAGGCTGTAATGAGAACTTTCCTCCCTTCAGCAAACAAAGTTTGTCCGGCGTGACCCCTTACCTGCCGGAACAATCACATGACGACACCTGAGAACACTAGTTGATCATCATGGCGGCTAACGGGACCACCTCCCCCCAGTCTCTCCACGTCTGGGACACCAAGGACAACTTTCTGGTCTGTAAACTGTGCTCGGAGGTCTACACCAACCCGAAGCTGTTGCCGTGCCTTCATACTTTCTGTGAAGACTGTTTGGAAAGATTTGCCTCCGTGGACGTGGATATAGTGGAGTGTCCCGTGTGCCGGGTGAACCACACGATTCCGGACTTGGGTGTAGCTGGGTTTGAAGATAACGGATTTGTGGCGAGTTTGTGCGAGGCTCTGTCTGCTAAGGACGAGGACACCAGGGGCAGGGAGGTGCCGTGCTCGGTGTGCGGGGACGACGAGGACGGGGAAGTGCTGTCGGTGTCCCACTGCATCGAGTGCGGAGACAACCTGTGCCCGGACTGCGCCTTCGCCCACCCCCGAACAAAGTTCACCCGAGGTCACCATGTCGTGTCGCTCTTTGAGCTATTGTTCGTCAAAAACAAGGGTAAGCTTGACGAGCGGAGGAAAGACATCGATCAAGACTTCGACAAGGAAGCCCCGAAATACCGAGCCGCGAGTGAGCGTAGTCTAAGCAAGGTCAAAGGGTTCCTGGACACGGCTAGCAAGAAGATTCCGTCCTACGAGACTTCCATCAGGAAATTGAGAGAATCAGAGACGCACAAGGCGCGACAGAAGACCGAGGTTTCCGAGCAGATCGCCGAAACCACCAGAAAATATATCTCCGCCGTGGAAGAACAAAAGAGATTCCTTCTGTCCGAACTGGAAACTGTTTACGAGCGGGAAAAGTTGGACATCGAAGCTGAGAAAGACTCGCTGAGCGTGGACTTAGTCCGGCTCCGCAGCACCTGTGACTTCACGGAGAAACTTCTGCGGTACGGCAGCGACCTGGAGGTGATTCAGTACCAGGACAGGCTGATTGAAAACCTACAGGAGGTGGGGAAACTCGAGCCGAGGGACGACATCATCGAGGGTCTGGTGGGGTCGGAGCTGCTGTTCGTGACGGAGGACGCGGACGTGCAGTACGTCCTGCAGAAGATGGGTCAGCTGGAGACGCGCCTGAAGGACGACACGACGTCCGTGTCCGAGGCAGACGCGAACAGCGCGGACGAGCTGGACGACGTGGACCGGCCCATCCTGAGGAAGGACGACGTCGACGTCATGCGGCTGGACAGTCTGACCAAGAGCACGGACGACGAGACGGACCAGCCGGAGCGCAGAGACTCCATGGCGCACGCCAAGACCACCAAGAGACTCGTGCTGGACTTCGGTAATGACGGGGAGGGGGAGGGGCAGTTCCTGGCTCCCGAGGGGGTCCTGTTCACGGACACTGGGGACATCCTTGTTCTGGACTCCATACAGAAATCCATGCAGGTGTTCGGACAGGAGGGAGAGTTCAAGTCCAGAGTCAAGCTGCCCGTGTTCCCACGTAATGTCGTCTGGACGAAGGAGGGTAAGTAAAAGTCGCTTTAATCTTTGTAATGCTTATATATAAAATAGACCCTGATCGGTATGTACAATAAGTATGTGCATGCAGACTATTGAAATGTATGACCTAGCCATTCAGCCAATCTTACACGGACCACAAACAAAGCTTCTCGAGCTGCTAATCGCATAATTCCCATGTATCACTTCAATTTCAAGCCAACACTCTATACGTACAGAATACAACACACGGGCCTAATGTGAATAATATTGCTAACACAACACAACACAACACAACACAACATGGGTTTGACACATGCACTATCACCCTGATCTGAAGGCTACCTGGCGCTGACCGGGAACATGCACGGGCGCGGGTGTGTGGTGATCATGGACCCGGAGGGGCGGGAGCTGCGGCGGTTCGACGCGGACGGGAAGCTGGAGTTCGTGCACGGGATCGCCGTGGACTCGCACAGCCGCTTCATCCTCACCGATGTTAGAAAGGTGATAGATTATAATCTTCTCTGTTCAAGCTAAGTGTTTAAACAAGTATGGTATCCGTCAATCGTAAGGCATTGCATAGTATAGCCAGTCTCCTTACGGTTGTTGAAAACAACATGAGGTAGTAGAACGTTAAATTTGCTTTTCTCCCATTGTGACAAGTGAAATTTGCACAGCGAGGTACAAAGTACTGCTGCCAGCTTTTCTGTTCCAATCGGTAAACCTGACCTTCGGTCTCAGCTGGAGAGGGCGTCATAATTTATGCATGCCTCATTCTTTGTCTCTCCCGACCTTATCGCATACAGCCTATCTTCGTGTTGTTTAAAGTCAATTTGCGTTTCCTTGTCTTACAGCACAAGGTGACCATCCATTCGCCAGAGGGAGACCTTGTGCACCAGTTCGGTAAATACGGGAACGACGCCTACTCCTTCAACAAGCCACATTACGTCACCGTCAACAGCAGAGACGAGCTTATCGTCTGCGACAGGTAGAGCTCGCAGTCATACTCACGTGGCTCTAATGATGTTTTGATTGTCAGTTCCTGTTCTTCATTTCCACAGAAACGCTAGTGTTATGTAAAGAAATACTGTAGGATGTATTTCCTCACAAACTTACAACGTCATGTTTTGTCTTCTTTCTTTTTTACTAAACTTCCCGTTCTGTCATGCTCCCGTTTGTTGTTGAGTTTGTCTCATTGTTTAAGTTTGGTCTAGCGGTGTAAAAGTGAGCAGGGGATTTTTGTTTGCCTTCAATAAAAGGTACTCTTTATATTCTACATTCTAAGTACACAGCACTGAAATCTATGTCGTTGGCAATTTCCGTACAGAGGGAACCACTACGTCAAAGTGTACGACTACCAGGGCAAGTTCCTCCGCAAGTTCGGCGGCTGCGGAAACGACGCCAACAACTTCATCTACCCGTACGGCGCCTGCGTCCTGACGTCCGGGGACAGCGCGGACGACATCGTGGTGTGCGACAGCGGACACAACATGCTGAAGATCTTCCACTCGGACGGGAACTTCCATCGGTACGTCCTGACGCAGGACGACGGACTCATGTCACCCAAGACCCTGGCACTGCGGGAGGAACACAACCAACTTGTGCTGACCGAGAGAGACAGATGTTACGTCAAAGTGTACAAGCTAGAGGACTGATCATGGACAAACTGTTGAACTTTGAAAGCCCCAAAGGCTTTGGGTTTGTTGTCATGTGTCATGATTCATGCAAAAATTAGTGTTGTAATAAGAGAACAAAAGAAATGACACTATAGGGTTATGTTTGCCAATCTCATAAAAGGTTGACCCGCCAAATAATCTCTTTACCACTTGTGAAATATGTAAAAATCACTGCAGTAAAGGCATAAAAACCTGTCACTCTGGCTTGAGTCAGGGCGCACACTAAGAATTCTTCCATTGTTACAGACAATATTGATATCGACTACTGTTCGATACAGAATTATTGCAAATGCACATGTTCAGTGTAGACTTTGAAGTAGAGAAATGTTCTGTATATCCCGGTTTGATTAACATTATTATCATATGCAGTGGTTTGATATAACGAAACATGATCTGCGCACACATATTTTATACGTTCAATTGATAATGATTTTCATTCAGAAATATCAATCTTAGTTTTGATAAAAACAAATGAATATGTGTTGCAATAAATATATTAAGTACATTTTCCGGAAATGATGGTCAGAATCCCTAATACATTCTCCATGTGATAGTTTCTTCCATGCCAATAAAACTTAAAGCTCTGGTTGTGGCGTATCCTGGTTATGAACGTCATCTTGTTTAAACCTACGTAAATAGGAACAGACAGTACATTGTGAACTTAACGTAATAGTTGAGTGGAATGATGTGTTATCCTCCAGTCCTTATATACTCCTAACATCCACACGTAGATTCACGTGTATACGTATGAAACTGTTCTAGAATAATGTTGTATTGGCATGTGTTCGATCATTTGTTACACCGTATAGTGTACTAGAACAACGGCAACGTATGTCGTTATGCCAACAGTGCACAGAGAACTTCACACTACATGTACGTTTAGTGATCACGCATCTTTAAATCGTACTGGAAACTTCTGTTTCCCACCTGTTCAAGCTCGGTCATGGTGTCGTCCACTAAAGATGGGACCGTGTGTATTTGTCAGATCTGTGACTGTGGGTGAGTAGTCAGTCAGTCAGTCAGTTATGTGAAGCAAAATTTGCAACATAATGAGGGTCAGAACTTCGTGTATACATGGCGGGGGGGGGGGTAAAGGTTTTAGGTAGCACTTTTATCATTGATGTTCCATCAACTTCTACTATCAATGGCGCTTTCGACGCGGTCACAAGTCATTCAAGTCATTAGAAGTTTTCAAACGCATCGGGAGGAACTTTGCAGGTAAAGGACGACGGGGTTTCAGGATTTACTTTGTTGTCTGCGAGTATGAACGACCTAAAACTCCGGTTCGTTCCCCCGGCAGTCGGCACCGCTGTCCGCACCAGAAGCAGCCCGATCACTTCCAGCGGATGCAGGCCGACCAGAAGCGTCCTCCAGCGGGAGCCACCGGTACTGAGTACCGGGAGGTAAGGCACCAGTTGTCAAGTGGATGTTGACGATGTATGGGACAAAAATAAAGTAACGACTGCGCGTCGGTGAAGGTTAGACATCCAGGTAATAAGATACGCAAAAAATACGACTGCACGTATTAGGAGTAGCACGTGCACGTATTTCGTTGAAAATGTCACTCATACGTTTAGATATCCACATACATCTCTACTACAAGCCCTTTTCCTCCACTGTCCGTCCCTATTTCAGTGGCGTCCTGGCATTTCCAAACCAGATTATCGCCCGTATAATCTCCGTGCTGCTTTATCTCGTCCTCCGGCTGCTCTCCGACCCAGGGCGGCGCCAGTCACACCGGGCCGATCGATGCTCACAGAAACTAAATTGCGTCAGAAACAAATCAATAATAGCCGGCACTGCTGTTTCCCCCGTGTGTACCAACTCTGCCACCCGCCATCTTACAGGAGTTTAAAGCATGGCCGACCACGGGAAAACTGAAGAGTCTACGGCCGGAGGTCAAGTCGGTGGCCACCAAGGACCCCATGCAACTGTCCACCATCTACCGTGACCTGTATATCGCCCACAAGGTAAATATATGTCAGGAAGTATTGAACGGCAGGGACAGCAAAACAAATCAAGTTGGCTGGTGAGCCCGCCGGTGAATGGAGGTGTATCGACCAAATTATTTGTCTTCCTACTATTCTCCTAGTATTACAATCATTGCCCTTAATACTATTTCTCTTTGCAGATTATTTGGATCTTAATATTGACTCGGGTGCTTCCTATGTTTAATATTGGCGGCTAGTCTTTGATGTTCTGTCACAGATGGTATTTCTATTGAAATACGTCTAAGGATCTCTAAGAGCTAAAAGAATCCAAAGGGTCATGGTCAGTGGCCGTTGTTGCGAGGTGTGCGAACTTGTACTTCTATACTAGAACTGCCTCTATCAGAAGGGTGCACTAGTATTATTTGAGGAATTACTGTGCTTCCACGCTTGAGCGCAAACCCTTACTGCTCTAAAGGAAATCAATAACCCACCAAGTTGAAACGGAGACCGAAATCTCACAAATTCACGAATTGAAAAAGAAACAAGCAAACTACAGCTGCTCGACCCATTCATATTAGTCAATGTGTGTTAGAAACCTAATAATATCACTGTTACTGGGGATTGTTTTCTTGTACATACAGGGTGTAGCGCACTTCTCCGAGTCGCTAAGAAGGCAGCATGTCGACCCTTAAGAGTTGTACATTGAATTAAGGATATGGAGTGCTTCTCCGCTCCGACCACTTATCTTAAGCACCTTGTCCCGAGGAAAACACTTAACACGGCCGAACAGAGGCGTGTAGAAGGACTTCTCATTGACCTGTTCTGACCCCAAACTGATCAACTTTGTGCTGAGACAAGATGGCCGACACTGCCGTGCTGTTGTACCGGAGAGCTAAACTACAACTGCTTGTGGGTCCGGAGGTTTTAGATATATGTTGCATATGTGACACGCTTTATTATATTACAATGTTTTGGGGCCTCAGTTAAGGGTGGGGATGATGATTAGCATAGACAACATCCATCTATCTAAAAAGTACTAAACCTAACCAATCGTGAAATTGCATCAAACCCCAATTTGGCATCGTGCCACGCAAAACTCCAAAAGTAATTGAAACCCGAAGCGTTTCGCTTCTGTGTTCGTTCATAGTGTTTATAGTGTTAACGTTACAAACTATAGCTCCTATTTTATGTTATTTTCAGAATACTAGCGTCAATTTACGGACCGAACGAACAACGATCAAATCTTGGAGCTTATCACCTGACAGAGAAGTTAACTATCTTTACCAATGTATGGATGATGTTAGCTATCAATATTCTAAAACTAATATGATCCATCACTTCACGTTTAGCCCCAGAAGGTGACGTCCCTGAAGCCGACGCGCGTGTACAATCCCCCGGAGGAGAGGCTGGAGACCAGCACCACCTACTCCAAGTGCTTCGACTGGAAGTACGCCGAGCCGCCCAACTGCCTCAAGCCCAAGCCCCAGCTCAACGTGCCCGACGGAGACAAGCAGTCCCCCTTCTCCAAGGACACCGTCACCAAGCTGACTTACAAGGTACAACTGCAAACCAGTGGGTAAAGGTATTAATAGGGCATTTCGTAGTTTCTACAGGATTGCAGATGCTAGTAAATTGACGTTTTAATTCTAGGCGAAATTGGCGACTTCAACGATGGCAACATGAACATTTTGAAAATAGAAGATGATGAACAACATAATGGAAATGATTATTCCATCTTCACGTGGCTATATGTTAAGATTTATTAGGCATAGAACATATACATATGTTGCAGTGATATCTCTCTCTTTGCCTGTCGTGGTTGGTTGTAAACCCCTCTCATCACCCCTTCTGATACGATTCGTTACCCCGAGGATCACGCCGACACGGGTGGACGCTAAATTCTCGCTTCTCATCTCGTCCCGTCACCAGATTTCATTTAATCATGGCGGTGTGGGCATGCACGGATTAGTTCATCATTTATAACACGGAACCGCGCATTAATGTGGGTGTGTGGGAGAAAAATCTAGGATCTATGGCCTATGCTTACAAGATTGTGATATTCAAGCAGAAGGAAAATTTGTTACGTCTCTTTATGATTAGAAGTTAGAATTTTTCATCCATCCATCCATTCTCATCAAGTTTTTTAATGTTTGCTTGTTATTTTTTCCATCTGTCCATGAATATAAGAATCATTATCTACCCTATTTCAAAATTTTGATGATCATTACCTTCCATCCATTGATTGTGTATAGCGTTACAGGGTTGCAACAGTCCATTACTGACCTATATCTACAGAGCAACACCGACAAGAGTACTTCATCAACATTTTAGGAGCTTAAATTGACCTGAATTGTGAATTAGTCAACTGATCCGCGATATATCAGACCGTGTACTGTGTACTGTCGTCTGCATATTTTTGTAACAGAGACGTACAAAAAATGTCTCAACTGCGGGTGAAGCTTCAAAACATGTGAAAAAAAGTTCAAATGCACAGAGTATACTGAAAACAAGACTGTCACAAGAAAATTGAATAACACAAAAATGTTAAAGCAGTTGATTTCGAAAGATAATACTGACATGTGTACATCCCCTCCAAATCCCATCTATCATTTGGAGCTACCGTGAGAAAATGTTGCCTTGTTTCCCCAACAGTCAACAGCTCTATCCACTAAATCTACTGATCATGATTGCTCATCAAGTTGTTGGCTCTCCTCTGTCAAGAGTAGTTTTACAAGTCACAGATTGAGCATTAAAACATGTTTATGTGTCATGACATTTTGTGGATTTATTATTTTCATACACTGCAATACACGCGCTGTTGGGAGGTTGTCCAATCATTTTGCTCCAAACTCCCCGGTATAGACGGTCATATTAATTACGAATCTCAGACTGGCATATATCGACTGTGTGTGGGCTTTTATTGTCTTACCAGCGTCCATTTTCACCTTGTTACTACAGGAGTTCTCGCGAGAGGAACAACAGGCGGCCAAGTGTAAGATCATCAAACACAAGGAGGAGCTGGGTGCTAACCCTGAGGCCAGGCTAGAGGTCACCACCAGCAGCTACACGGTAACAACAAACGCTTGTATTTAGTTACAGATCTGCAAGAGGGCGTTATTAAAAGACCTTGACATTCCTGATGTCCTCCTCATCCTCTCGGTCACATGATTTTGGTGAACGTCAGTACAATCAATGGCTACAATCTTTGGCTAACCATTTTGATATCACAAGAAAAAAGCTGAGACTGCTTCAAATAACCCTCCTTTTTGGATCACCGACTACACTGAGACTTCGGCAAATTAAGAGCATGAAGATTGTTGTATTATTATAACACCTCTGGATTTATACGTTTACGCCATAACAGAAATCAGGTCAACGTACTAGAGAACGAAATACTCAGGCTAGAAGTAGATGTGCAAGCAACAGCTGTAGGATGTGACTGTACGTCAAACGACAATATCACTAAATCATAACATACCCACAGGACACTGACGCTAATATGATCTAACGTTAGAACATACTAGCAGATGCAACAGCTGGTACGGCTGCCCTTTGTTGGGATGCAGAACAAATGATCTTTTTCAATGAATGACATCATATTACGTAAATCTGCCACACGTTTTGTCGGTACTGCCTGTCAGTGCGCGTGTCAGACTGACGACTCTCTGGTCTGGTCCGTTCCCCAGGAGGACTTCCCGGCACACGACAGCGTGGCGCCGCCCAAGAGTACCAAGCCGCCCCAGGAGTACATCAAGTCCGACAAGCCTTTTGAGGACGACACCGTCAACAAACTCGACTACGTGCCGCACCCCCCGCAACCAAGGCCCGTCAAGAAGAAGGTTAGGGTAGTCTAGAAGTTTCTAGGAGAAATACATTTAATCACGTAATAGACGTAGTCAGCTGCTTTCCAACTCTAGTTTAGTACTACAATTTTGCAATTGTACTAATACTTTTCGGATTTTGACTTTTGTTTGAGGTTGAAGTCAAATCAGGTCAGTCGACAATTTTGCAATTGTACTAATACTTTTCGGATTTTGACTTTTGTTTGAGGTTGAAGTCAAATCTACCG